GGAGGGGCTGGGCCACTCCAGGTGAGGGGTTTTATCCAGGGCCAGCTGAGGAGCCTCCAAACCAGGCCCATGCAGTGTCACTCTTTGCTCCACCTTGTCCCCAGGGATAAAAAATGTCATTCTTGATGTATCCAGAGATCATAAAATGTTCTTGTGTCTCCAGGGCAGGAAGGAGACATCTCCCCCCTCCTTTGTTTCACTTTTTCTTTTGTATTAAAGATGAAAAGAATTCAAGTCCCATCCCTGCAGTGCTGCAGGCACAAGACTTCCTTGGTTTTCTTTTTTTTTTTTATTATTATTTTGCAGGGATCCCTGCAGCCACAGATTGGTGTTAATGATCTGGATTTGCTTTTGGGGTTAAAAAGAAAGAAATCTGTGAATGCAGAGCGTGGCTGTTCCTGTGCAGAGGGGAATATTGCAGCTTTGTAATTCACTGCCATCTTGTGATATTTAACGTTTCCCTAAAATGATGAACATGCAACATGAATTAGAACAGAACCCCAAACAAGAAAAAAAAAACCCCAATCTGTTCCTAGTATCCATAGTTACAGAGAAAACTCAGAGACCCTGAGGGTGATGGGTAGAAAAGCTCCTATCACAAAGACATAAAATGAAAAGTTGTGACATTTTGTTGCTTTTATTTTTTAATCTGCAATTTCTTTGCATAAACTCCATTCTTCCATCAGACAAAAAGCTGGAGTTTTCCTTGATGCCTCACCATGTGTGTTTTCAATTTCTCTTTCGCCCTTTGCCTTTGGGTGGAATGGCAAAATTAGGGCAAGTTTGCTCCAATGAGCTTGTAATTATTACTATGATTATTATTATTCCTTCCATGTACAGTCAGAGTACCTGGGAGTCCTGTGCAACTTCAGAGGGAAAACATGAGACAAAATGCTGCATAATGCATGGCAAAGTTTAACAGAAAATAGGGAGTTTTTAAAAGTCAGATAATAGGGGGATGTTCTACCTTTTAAAAACCCATGAAAGTAGATTGGACAAAGCAGCAGGAAGCAAAATATCACCTCCATCCTGCCTCTTGCAGAGAGGGGCAGTGGGAGGAGCTGCCCTTGCCCACGGCTAATTTTGATGAGTAATTTGCATATGGGTCATCTTAAAATGAGAAGCCCAAAATCTACTGCCCAGAATTTTAGTGTATTTACCATTTTACCAGTGTTTTGCTGCCCTGTATTTGGTGCTGACTGTGCCAGACTGTCAGGGCTTGGCCCCAGCTGGCAGCTGAGTCCCACAGGCTCATCCCAGGAATGGGGGTAAAAGGGAGAAAATCACAGATTGAGACCACAGAATATGGAAAGGTTTCCCATTAGGTGTCCCTTTGGGATATATTAAACTTGAGTTTTGAATTCAGCCAGTGAAATCATTTTGGGGGCACAGCCCTGAATTTCTTCCCCCTCCACTTCCATAGACAGAAACAGCAGCTTAGGTTTGAACTGCCTCATTTATAACCCATCCAAACAAATGGCCTGAAGCAATTGTGCTCCAGACTTTCAGCTGCCTCCTGGGACTTTGGATGTGAATTCCTAGAAAATACCAAAACTTTCCTTTAGTAGAAAATGGAACTGCAGTTGAATAGTGGTGGCTGCTCCCCAAGGCACAGGCTCAGAGCACCAACACCCACCTGTGCTCACCTCCTGCAGCCACTCAGGAAACTCAGAGAAGTGCAACAATTTCTCCAAGGCAGAGCAGGGGTTGTTCCACAGGAGTTTTCAGCACAGTTAGAAGTTCCACCCATGTTTTTTGTTGCCTACTTTATTTTCTCCTGGCTCGTGTAAATCCCAAGCCTCACAATTCACATGCAGCAAAGCATGCCCAAAATGAGAGAAAAATGAGTTTTTCTGAGTGCCAAGAGGATGCAGCTGGGTGAAAAGAACAGGAATTGAAATGGTGGGAGAGTATCAGGAGGGCAGAGCAGCTGCTGGCAGAGCTCAACTCATGTCTCACCCCAACCCTGTCCCTGCCCATTTCTAACACAAACCTCTGCAATTCTTTCAATATGGTTGATTTTATTACAAGAATAGTTGAAGACAGAACAAAAAAACAGTGGCAAAACCAAATATTTTTAGAAAATTTAATATGCAATCCTTAGGCAAGATACTTTGCAAGCCTCAAACGTTCAATAACCTCTTTGCTGGCTGTGGTTGTACAGCACTCAGGATGTGCTGATCTTTCACACCAACACATGGTGCTGGTGCTGGTGGAACTGCATTCTCCTGCACTCTCACATTCAACAGCAGTGCAGAGATTAAAAGGAAATGTTTCTTTCCATTCTTTTATTGCTGTTTCATCCCACTGATAAGGTGGCTTTTAGTCTGCTCAAGTTACCTCTAAGTTTGGCAGAGACAAAACCTCTTGTCCACCCCAATTACTGTTTATTCACATAAATTCTGATTTCAGAGAGAATGAATGAATGATTGAAAAAATAAATATTCTTATGCAGGAAATACACTGACCCATACAATTAATACATTAATAATAATTAACTTGGAACATTCATTGCATGACTCAGAGTTTCTGAAGTTTTTATTTAAAAACCCCCAGACCTGCAGAACACAGAGGCCACGGGGTGGGGGTGTCTGAGCCCTTCAGACACTCTGAGCTGGCTCTGACTTCAAAGGATGAATCACCAGGATCTGGTTGGTATCAGCAGAACTGGCCTGCACAATGAATGAGCCCAGTCAGCCCTTCCCTGGAGGGGTTTCTGTCTCTTGGCTACAGGGAAATGATGCAGCTTGTCTGCAAGCAAACTTTTTATGTTACATAAACCAAGGAAAACATATTTATATAGCAAAGGCTTCCTGAAATAGCCCCTGGAATTTTGAACAGAGCAACCATTCTTTTCAGAGTTTTTTTTTTTCAGAGTTCAGGATATATTTCAGCAAGAACAAAGACACATGTAGAATATTTTCTTTTTACTCTTTCCTTCCAATCTAAGTACAGCAGCCAAAGCCTACACACCTATGCTGTGTCCATCACAAAATTAAACAGCTCCACAGTGCAGAGCAAGCCTGGAGAACCCTGAATGCAATCAATTTGATAGAGATATCAGAATCTGCAAACAATAAAAAGTTTATTTATAGCAACAAGAAACTGGCTGCCAGGGGATAAATGACTGATCCTCCTGGGCCACAGGTGCATCAGTGTTTGACTTCCTGGCCAGCCTCTTGTACAATCAACTCTTATCATTTAACACCAGTTCTAAAAACTTCTGAGTTTGCAGCTGGTGCTTCGAAAGAGCATCCTACCTTCAGGCACCACGAATGCCCCGGGGAGGTTCTCGTTTGCTTTTAATTACGTGCTTTATTCATTAAGAGGTTAAACTCCTGCAGTGTGTTTCTCAGGCCAGGGTTGGAGCCACAGCTCTGCTGTCAGGCTGGAGGTTGATGAGGGAGTTGCTGGCCTGGGCCAGCTCTGCAATGGAGACTCTGCCTCGCTGCTTGATGTACTGGGCCACGGCTGCCATCTCCTCTGCAGTGATGTAGATGAACTTTCCCCTGTCATCAATCACACCTGCAGGGCAAAGACAGCATCCTGCAGATTCAGTCAGCACTGGGGCTCCCCTCACTGCTTTGGGAGGGGGTGCTCCAGCTGCTGAGGCAGCACTGCCTATCTAGGCTGGGCAGGATTTTATCTCCTGGCCACTGCTGGGTGCTGGAGCAGGGCTGTGCCAGCAGCCCAGGGCCTTGGGAATGCTCCTTTTGCTCAAAGGAACCCGTCCTGTGCACTGCAACAGCTGCCTGGGAGCTCCACAGCAGCTGCTGCAGGGATCACAGAATGTCCTGAGCTGGAAGGGACCCACCAGGATCACTGATCCAGCTCCTGGCCCTGCACAGACACCCCAACTATCTCACCCTGTGCATCCCTGGGAGCGTTGTCCAAACTCCTGGAGCTTTGGCAGATTTGGGGCTGTGCCCATTCCCTGGGGATCCTGGGCAGTGCTCTGGGGGAAGAACCTTTCCCTGATCCCCAACATAAATCCTCTGACCCAGCTCCAGCTGTTCTCTGGGTCCTGTCCCTGTTACAGGGAGCAGAGATCAGAGTTGCCCATGGGGAGGAATCTCCCCTCAGCCTCCTCATCTCCAGGTTGAACAAGCCAAGTGCTCTCAGCTGCTCCTCACATGGATTCCTCTCCAGATCCTTCTTCCCCTTCCTAGCCCTGCATTTTGGTGCTCATGTTCCCAGCTCAGGCAGCTGGTGGAGAAAGGCAGAGCAGGAGGGTCCAGGAGGGCACTGAGAGCCCTTGTGGGGCCCAGCTCAGCCTTTCCAGCTTCCCCTCTGAAGGGAATGCAGCTCAGGTTCCATATTTCTGTGGCTCCAGACTGAGAACAGAACCCTGTTTTTATGGATTCCACCGAGGCAGAGCCTCCCTGGTTTTGGGTACAGCCAGCCAGCACAGCACACATCCTTCTCCCTGGATTCCAAGCACTTCCAGGGCATTTGAAAGGGTTTCCACATGCACTTGCTGAGTTGTTCTCCAGCCATGAGGACAAGATCAGGTCAATAAATGTTTGTGCTGGCACCTTTTTCTACTTCACCCTTGGAAAGAACAAGACTGCCCAGCACTAAAGCATGTTTTGTTCCTGCTCAGTCTCTGCAGCCATGCCAGCTTGGACTGGGAGGGTGCAGGGCTGGGAACAAGCACTTGACTGACTCCAGCATCCTGCAGTGCTCTGGGATGTCTGCCTCTCCCACATGCCACACCCCAGTCCTGGCTTTAACACCACCCCAAATCATCCCAGTGATCCTCTCAAATTCAGATTTCAGAAGGCCCCATTTGCAGCTGGCTGCTCAGCAACCCCAAAAGGCCTTCAGCAGATGGGTAAATAAATAAAATATAAATATCTAGCTGTTAAGTCCTACTAGATCCTTAAAACAGGAATGATACTGGAATTCTCTCTCTGCCATAGGGAAGGCACTTTCTGCACCACCAGCTACAGAAAGATCCCCTTTGTGCTTTGGCTGTCACCTGTCAGGGTGCCATCTGCCATCAGGTCCTGGATTCTGTTAATTGCATCCTGTGCAGAAGAGAAAAAGGAATAACAGACTGATCAAAAGGGAAGCAAAAAACATTTCACATGTTCAGATAAACTACAGAGGCTTACCTTGAAATCCCTCAGGGTTAAGAAATTCAGCACTCCCACACAGAGAGATGCAATCAGCCCTTTGGTCTTAAAGGATGATTATTTTTTTTTTTTTTTTTGTATTTTGGGATGTTCAAGTTAAATTCCTTACTCCTGGAAAGAGCCTTTTACTGCCTGATTTAAGGATGAAGGGGTTATAGGAATCTTCCCATGGAAAGGTTGTGCAGTGCCATGAAGTTCCATGAAGCACACAGATCCTTCTCCAAGGTTCTTCCCTGCTCAAAAATTCCACATTTTTTATATTTTTTCCTGCTCCTTCTAGGAGCAAACTTCTGCTACCGACCCAAAGCAACAACTTGTTGAATTTATGGCTAGGTTTACTCCACAGTTACTCCAAGCATGCAGTTCCACTGCACCCCAAGTGCTGGTTTCTACAGCTCTACCTCTCTTTCTTGTTGTTATATATATGCAGAAGGAAATTATAATCTAGATTTTAAACAGATAAATTCCTTTAAGTAACCCACTGCACACTTAAATGGAGTTCTGGTTTAAGAGGGAGGCAGGGGCCCAGCAAAAATTAGTATTTCCACCCCAAAAGTCAGTGCTTACCTGTGTCCTTAAACCCAGATGTGAAGCCAGGTCCTCCAGCTGGATAACCTTTGTTTTCTGCGGGAACAAACAAGAGTTAAGCTGATGAATGAGAAAGTTGGGATTTTTTTTTTTTTTTTTCCATTCAAATAAAAAAATGTATTAACCTGACAAGGGAAAACCTGTTCCTTTAAGTAACTTTTCCTAGTAAGCACTTTCATCTGATGAAAAACTCTCAGGTCACCTAAAGCAGGGAGCTCTCTGGAAAGACTGAGTGCTCTGACCCACTTAGAGCAGGACTCAAACACATCTGCCAGCCTTGATCCTGGACTTTTCCTTACACTGGGACGAGCACAAGGAACAGCCATGACTCTGTTCCCCCACCTCCTGAGTTTCTCAGCTGCCACCTTTAATTTCCAGTGTGTTTTACCAAAGCTCTTTCTTCTCTGAGGGATGTTTCAAAGCACCTTTTAAAACCATCACTGGTGTGTATCAGCACTTACATAAAACCCAGGCAAGACTGGCAGCATTAAGTGCTTTAGTCTGTTTTACTGATGTCATGTGTATTAATGCCATAATAATCTTCCTAAGCAAGCCAACACCTTATTAAAATTGTCAGTGTTGGAGCTGCACATTGTCATGCTTTTGACAGATTCTTCCTGCAGTTTTTCTCAGTGAAGGCACAACCAGCACTGCTCACATCTGGTTTTGTGCTTCTCTGTAGCTCCAGAGAAAACACCTGCAGTGCTTGTCTGCAGCTACTTGGTTCCTGTTTTCTTCTCTGCCAAAGTTTTAAGAACTCATCTGTTTAGTTGCAAAAGGATGCAGTGTTTGGAAGGAGCTTGGAAAAGACAAAACTGTTGGAAAGCTCAGTTAATATTCAGGTCTACATTCCTAAAATCCATGTATGTACAGCCACAGGAGCTGCATCTCCATTAATAAATTAAACACTTCCAACAAAGTCCTTTGTTCGTGGTGTTGAGAACATACTGGGAGGCCACTGAAGAAATAGAGAGAGGCTGAAATAGATGAATCTTTTTCATTAATAAAATCAGACCAAAAAGAAAGCCACACACAGATTTAGCAGTTGTGAAGTTCGATGCAGCCAAGCTAGAGAACTGAATACCATGGACTGAACACATGGAACTGGAACCAGTCCATGGAATTCAGTTCTCAGAGCTGGGAACTGCCAACATTCGTCACATCTTCTTTTAAAGGGATTGGGGGGGGCAGGTTGGTGCAAAGCCACATGAACAGGAAAAACAGGACTTAAACCTTCACTTAAAGGTATTCCCCCTCAATGACCAAGTTCAGTGGAAGCTTTCCAAGACAGATCCTGCTGGGAATGAGAGCCCAAGGGGGTGGGGTGGAATTAGGATACACTCCTCACACTCTGGAATACAACAGCACCAAGAGGTCCCAAGGGAATAAAACACTTCTCCACATGCATCATGTTCTAGAGACAAGCTTAACTTCCCTTCAGCAACAAAAACACATCCACATTTTCCTGAATTAATATCATTTTAGGGGTGATGCTGCTGCTGTCCTCAGCAAGGGATGAAACACAGCAAAAGGCTGCATTTTGCTCCCAACACCCTTAAGAATGAAGCATGGGGTGACCTATCTCCAGTCAATTATATCAGCACAAGAAATTATTCAAAAGAAGAGCTAAATTCAATTTTATTTTAAAAAAATGCCAATTACTCTTAATTTATACATTTTTTCTGACAGCTACGAGCAGCTCAGCACCGCTTCCTGTCAATGGTTTCTGTGAACAGAACGGAATATGAGGGCAATACATATAATCTATACATTAAGCACACTTTCAAGATTAAAGAAAAAAATACTTAAAACTTGTGAAAGAAAGCGATGCCCCAGTTCTGCAGAGGAAATCAGGTGTCGAATATTCAGACTTTGCTTTCCAGCCCAAGTTTAATTTCTCTGACGTCAAGATGAAGTGACTGATACAGAATTTAGTGCTGAAACACTCAACTGGGAGTTTGTGACTAATCTGATCCATCCACCACAAGCCCTGGGGCAATGGGCAGAGCCTTGCCCTGGCTGTGTCCTCCCTTGGAAACCTCCCAGTGCTTGTGGAAGATCTCAAGGGACACTGGAATCTCCTTTTTTACCCACAGAGGTAAAGAAGAAGCAGAGAGCAGCCCAGCAGAGCTTTGCAGGGCTCTGCTCTGAGCTCTTGTCCAGAACTGCCTGGCAATCACTCCAAAGGACTCCCCAAGGAGAATTATCCACCAGGCAAATCTCTAAGTCCAGGAGATAAATCTGCTGTAAGTCCAGGGCTTTTCTGGGATAATGGACGTGCAAAACGTGAGATTTTGGAATAGAAAATGATTAGCAGCTCACTGAGTTATCCGAGTGATTTGCTTGCTGGAGAAGCCTTTCACACAGGTCACACATCCTGAGAGTTCAGATTCCAGTAAAGGAAGAAAGTGATTCATTAGGAAAAAAAGATTTGCATGCCAATGTTGGGAGTCAGAGGAGAAAAATGCATCTGACTTTTGATACAGCAATAGTGGAGAGCATTTGCCCTCACAGATCAAAAGCACAAATCCTCCTGAGCACAGCCCAGGTTTGAAATACCCAATGGGATGAAAGGGAGACTGACACACCCTGGTTAAAACAAGGCAGCTGCTTCTTACACTGCCCTCCTGAACATTCAAACACTGGAAGCTGCAAGGACAGAAAAAAGTGAAGGAATCACAGGAAAAGTTGGGATTGAGCTTTCCAGTGCAATGCTGGAAGCTCAAAAACACCCTCCTGGTACAGCAACTCTCCTTCCTGCTGAGCTCGCATGGAGAGACTGTTTTTAAATCAGTGGCTGATGCTCACAAACAAAAAAGCCTGAATATTCTAAATCCCAATTCAAAGCAAACATTGCTTCCATGAACTCTGAGGGAGATCCACCAGGCCTGTCTTATACCACAGGGCAAGGGCCACATCCTGCCCCAAAAGCCAGGACCCAGCTGGAGTTAAACTATTTTAAGTTTAGGTAACTGTGTTTGTGCTGGTTCAGTAAATAACACTTATTGAAGGGATCACTTCTGTTACTTGTTAAATATTTAAATAAATGAAAGAGGAAGTAAAGATGTCCCTCTTGGACAAAAAGGTTTTTCACACCAATACGAGAGAAACCAAAGGCACCTTACCTTAACATATTCCAGGAATTCCATAAGAAAGCTGCGAGACTAGAGACAGCAAGGAAAACAATTATTATTTTGAGTTCATGAGCATTAAATGCATCAAAAACTTGCTGAGAAGAAATACTATAAAAGTATTTAGACTGCATAATTCCTAAGTTTTAACTACACAGACTGAGATATTGAACTGGGAAGAAAAATAATCTAGACTGAACCTTTACAAGGGACTTCTGACAGGTATTTTTTGAGACAGAATGTGACTCAGGTACAACTTAAATTTTTCCCAAAAGGTTATAATACAATTTCTTATTCTTCCCATCATCAATACCCTGAAATAACCACATCTGGGTGAGTTTAAGCATCATTAAGTCACACACCAAGGCCATTCCATGCAGAGGAAAACCCAGAGTGACTCAGGACCTGCAGATGGCCAAGTGCAGCACAGCTGCACAGCACCTGTGGAGGCTCAAGCATTTCAGAGCCATGCACCTGAAATCCCGTGAGCAGCTCCATTTCAGAGGCAGTGCAAGTTAAAAGGAGATCAGGTTGCTCTGCAACCCTGGGAATCAATCAGCCTTAATTAACTGGTGAGCTCTGGAGGCAGGAGCTTGCTTTTCAGCACAAGCAACCTCAGGAACACAAGGCCGAGTCAGCTTTGCTAACAGGATACTGAAATGCTTCAGTACTTCAGCCACCACAAGGCCAGGGTGGCTGCTTAATTTCCTTCTAATTGCTGTTGCCTCCAAATAACTCTGTCCCTGTTATTATTTCTGAATGTGACTTCTAAATCACCTGCAATTCAAGTTCTAGCTCCTCACCCCTACCAAACTTCTCTCAGGTTGACATACAGGCATCATCAACAGCCTGCCAAGCTCTTTGAGGTGAGGAACACCCTTCTCTCTTCTGACATGGAGATTAATTTCTCCTTGACAGACAGCTGTAGGAACATGGACAATCACCACATTCCAGCTTTAAAGGGTGTTTGAAGTGGAACACATCAATATTTAGGGATAATCTCATCTCCTGAGAGGACAGGTACAGATTTTTGAAGGAATTGTCAATAAAAGTGTGCATTTTGCTGTTCACTGCATCTTAGAGAATTCCCCATCAGCAGACAGAACTTCTCTTGGTGTTAATCCTGGTGTGATGGAGGAATTTTTTTTGATGGGAAGGGGTCCATGGTGAGAACCTGTAATGAGTCAATGGTGCTGACACTGGGCACAATCTGCTGTGCTCAAAGCCACTTTCAGTCACACTAAAGCAAATCCACTGAATTCCAGAGTCTCTTCAGCAGAGCAGCAAATGAGCACCCATGGCCCTGAAATAAATCCTTCCCAAGAAATGCACTGGACAGCTCAAATTGGCAGCTACAACCCAAGAGCAATTCCAGGATGTGATAGCAAATAAATCGTGTCTAACAGGTTTTCAGCAGACAAAACTCTGCCTCCCACAACAGCAAAACTTTTCCAGGTTTGCTGTGATTTTCTATCAAGTATCGCATTTCAACCACCATCCCCACAGCTCTGCAGGCAGCCACAGGAGCAGCAGTGTGGGTTTGTCCTGAGGATTTCCTTATCAGAAGCCTTTTGAGACAAGAGCTTGGTTTTTAATTTGATTTCACAGCAGCTCTCTTGGTGTAGAAAATAAAGCCAAACCAAATTAATTGCCCCCCAGGTCTGTGGGCACTTTCCAACTCCAAATTCAGCTTTACTGGCTCAGTCTCTGTGGGTAAGGCAGAGCTGCTGACAGTGAGAGATTATCTGAATTCCAGAATGAGTTTGATTTCAGTTCTTAGACACAAGGGAGGACAGAACTCATTTCCAGCAAGTTCTCTCAGAACTCTAAAATACCCCGTGGGAGTCTGGTATGAGGAACAGCAGCATTCCCCAGGAAATATTCCAGGGTTAACCTGTGCCACAGACACAATTTAGCTTTCACAAGCAAAAACCTTTGGCTGACTCCTACTTTTAATTTTATTTTACACAAGACAGAATGCAGCAAGTCTAACAGGAGAAGGGGAACTGCAAAACCAGCCTCACATACCTGCTCCTCTGTCATTGATTCTTCAACTCCTTCCTCTTCAACCACAAAACTCTCCTTCAGCTTCAGGTACTCTTCATATTCTCTCTTCTCCTCTTCTTCCTTTGCTTTCCTTTTCTCCTCTTCCTGGACAGAGAAGATGACAATTGGTCATTTTGCTCTTTCCCAAGTCAGGTTTTAAGTGAAGCAGCATCTTCTTTTCTCTGCAGCCAGCACATAAAAAGTTTTTAAGCTGAGTCTAAGTTGTCCCTTGATGGCACAACCAGTTTCAGCTGCCTTGCACAGCAGGGCTGGTTCTTAGCAGAGCTGACAGAAAACCTCTTAAATAGCAACCTGCCTGCTTCATTTGCATCAATCTGCTGCTCCTCGCAGGAAGTCCCTGCCCCTCCCTGCACTTTGATGCAACGTTCCCATTTTTGGTTACTGGCCCCAGGTCTGCTCTGCCACTGCAGGACATTGGGAGTGCTCACAATGAACAGTGGTCTTACATTGGTGGAGAGAAACTGAAAGTTTCAGGTAAAATCAAGTTTTCTAAGAAAACCTCTTTCTTATGAAAACTTTCTTCCAGCAAGCTGTGCCTACATGTAATATATAAATTATTATATAAAGTATTTTAGGCACAGGAGGCACAATTGTATTAACAAAAGGAGTTTCTTACATGTTGTTTGTTAAACAAAAACTTCAGGCTTTTAGTAATTTGCAATAAAAAACCTTAATGGCCTACCCTGAAATAAATATTAAAACCTTAAAGCTCACAATAAAGCTGACCCAGAGAACTCCAAGCCCAGCATCAGTGACATGGTGATGCCTGGTTCTGTGGAATTCACACCTTCACAAACCAAAATGGTGATTAAACATTTGGAAATGTGACAGATTACTTCGAAAATGTTTCAAATAGGAGCTGGTTTTTACTGGGAACTCCTAAATTTGCAGTTTTCTATCATTTTCATTTAAAAATTGTCTTTCTTTTCTCCAAGGGAAGGCTGGACTAATGTTGAAGGTTGGATTTGATGATCTCAGAGGCCTTTTCCAATTCAATAAAAGATTCCATGGCTCACAGAGAACAAAAATGTTTCCCTCCAGGACAGTTTCTTGCACAGAGGAATTTCTGTTTTGTGCAGCACCTGGTACAGAGAGATTCCAAAAGGATCTGGCCTCTGGCTCCATCACATTCCAGGGGCTGATTAAAACAAACAGAGGAGTTCTTCAAATTTCAGTGACAATCCCAGGACATTCCTTTATCACCAGCAGAGAAATTGATTTTTTATTTGATGATTTGATATTGATTTCTAAATGCTTGCCATGCTACATCTTTGACATTAATATGGTAATTGTTTCCTCAAGTAGCTGGAATGTAAATATTTGTTCCATTAAAAAAAACAAGGAGAGACAGGAACAGGTCATTCAGGATATAGAAAATATATCCATATTAAAAAAGATTCCTTTCGGTAAAAAAAAAAAAANAGAGACAGGAACAGGTCATTCAGGATATAGAAAAAAAAAAAAAATAAAAAAAAATTCCTTTCTGTAAAAAAAAAAAAAAAAAAGAGTATTTGGTCCCATTTTTATATAAATAATATATAAAATAAAAATATTTATACATAAAAATATTTTTTAGCAAATTCCCAGAAAGTCAGGAGAAAGAATCCTGCCAACATCTAAAAATGAGAAAAACAGGACTGAAAGGATCTTAAGTGTATCTGCAAAGCCAAATCCATTTTTTAAACTGCTATCTCATGAAAAAATCTATGGATCTGAGGAAGTTCTTGAGACAAAACAAGATCATTTTTGGGTCATTCATCACCACAACAATTAATCCAACTGCACATTTTTTTCCTTATATGCTCTCCAGATGCCAAGAACAACATAACCCTATTTCATTTGGAAGCAACAGCAACTGTTCTTTTCTTTTAAGTGCATTGCATTTCATCTTGATCCTGGAAAGACAAGAATAATGTTTTCCCTCTGGTTTGTTAGAGAGGTTATAATTCAGCAGGATTTGAAATGAGGAAAAAGTAAAAAAAACAAAACAAAAACATCACAAAGGCTCAAAATTGCTTTGGTAAATAATTTCTAGATGGTTCTGCAAAAAAAGAAAAGATCAAAAGACAGTGTCCCACTTGTGACTGAGAGCAACAATAACTAAAACACATTTTCCTGCTTCTGGAAGGTCTAACAGATGATATTGTGGTCCTTCCCTACCTGAAAAACAGCACCTTGCATTTTTTGGAAGTATCCCAGCACGTTCCTATCAGCACTTCCATTCCCAGCACAGGCAGAAAAGCAGCCCTGCTGTGACTGGCAAAGCACTCAGCTCCCAGCCCTTTCTTTGCCAACAGGAATTTGTTTTCCAGATGCTGAATTTTGATCAGCAGAACATTTCCAGTGCTCTGAGGCACTGCTTTGGTAGCTAAAGTGTGCCAGCCCTCAAAGCTTCCTGGTGGTTGTAGCTTTCTCCATAACACTAAATATTTCCAGCTGCCTTTTTTTTTTTTTTTATCATCTAAAAATTAAAAATTCATGAAGAGCCTCACATGCTTTACAACCTAAATTCACCTATGATTCAATCTGTAGGAAAAAAAGGATTTATCCAGACTGCAGCTTGGCTCAGAGCAAGAGGAGAGATGACTTTGCACAAGTGCCCAGGGAGAAGCAAGGTGGAGGCTGAGCAGGGGAACCCAGGGAGAGTCAGGATGGCTGGGAGTATTTATTTATATTTATTTAGAATATTTATTTATATTTATTTAGAATATTTTTTATTTGACCACCTCTCTAACTCTCTTCTCTCATCTGCTCATAGAGCAGCTGTGTGGGAGCTACAGGGTCAAATTTAGGCAGCAGAATTCCCACAAAACTCAGTGTGTCCATACAAATAACCCAGAAACACCCCCAGCCCCTCACGGTCTCTAAGTGGTTTTTGTGCCAGGCACATAGAGGGCACTGGGCACAAACCCACCTTTCAAACCCCACATTTTTGGCACTCAGGTTCCTTCTGAGCTGGTGGCTCAGAGCAGACAGTGGCTGGGCCTCCCTCCAGCCATGGGTGGGGTGCTGGGGAAATCCCAGCAGATGGAAATTTGGTAACTGCAGATGCTCATCTTCAGCTGCCTGCTTTTGGTTTTTTGGCTTTTTTTTTTTTTTTTTTTTTTTTTTGAAGCAAGCTTGCCTCTCTCCTCACCCATCTAAATGTCACCCAGACTGGGGGCTTAAACCATATAAAGATTTATTTTTGATTAGTTTATTCCACTGCATGTGAAGAACAGACTATCCCACTTTGACCACATCTTCATTGAACAAATCAGTAAATAAATGAGTCACTCAAACCTTTGTTTTCTGTTCTTTTTTTGGGCCTGGATGTGCTGTGAGGCTCCCTTCAGATCATCACCCTCTGTTTGTCCCTTACTTTGATCCCAGGGATTATTTCCAAACACATTCTCTGTGCCAACTGCACAAGACCCCAACTTTTTACCAGGTGAAACCCACAGCATCCTGAAAATTCTCTTAGGCTTCCAGCTGGAAGCACACACTGATTTTTGGAATCACAGATTGTTCAGGAGTCCTGGGATGCTGCTTGGGTGGAGAAAACCTCACTGGCAGTGAGGAAAGCAGAGCAAATATTGGGACACTCTTCAGGCACCACCTGCTCCCTGTCATTCCTTTATTTGTGGTGTTTCCTGAATTTTTAGGATGAGGAAAAGCATCCTGAGTGTTTAGAGGGCCATGGATCAATGAAACCTTCCTTGTACAGCATCCAGTTTTTGTATTGTCAGGGCAGGTTCTGCAGGAAGCCAAAAGGGACTTAGCAGAGAATAATTTGGCACAGAGAAAATGGATCTGTAGGATTCCTGCCCCCCTCATTTGCTTAGACAGAATAAGTGTCCTTAACCCCTCAAAATCACAGGAGAATGAGGTTTTTTGCAAGGTTTTCTATTTGTACTCCCTTAGGAGAAATTGATTTTGAGGGAAGTATACACACTTGAAAACTGATGCTTAAACTGAAATTATGGAGTGGCTCTCCATCAGTCTCCAGAAATGCACTGTTAATACAGGAAAAAATGGATATAAATATCAAATAGGTAGTGAAGAGCTCTGCTGAGACACACACACATTAATGAAACAACTAAAACTTGGTGCCTTTTCTTCTGTGATCAAATATCAGAGTCAAAACTTTATGGTCAAACCTTCCAGAGGATCCTTGTGATCCTGGCTGACCCATTTCTACAGCTCTGAAGATCCAAACCTTTTTTTATTCAGGCACTTAAATGCAAATTTACCAAAATCTCTGTGCACAGGTAAAGGAAAAAGAGCTTTTCATGAGAGCAATCTGCCAGGTTTTGTCTGAAGACTCCGTTTTGCAACATCAGAGGAAATTCACTCTCATTGATAAGGTGTCAGCTGGTAAACCAGCTAACCACCAAAAAACTCCCAAGAGTGAAAGGGAAATCCCCAGGGTAAAGCAAAGCTGAAGCAAATGCCAATTATAAAGGAGCCTCCTGGGGTGTGGCGCCTCTCCTCTGCGGAGCACTGGAAAGGAAACTTGAATTTAAAAATACATGATCTGGTTTGCAACACTCAAGCCAAGGGGCAACCACATTTTATTTATAAATGCATACAAATCTATTGAAAGAGAAGCAGAGGTTATTTTTCTCAAGGCTAGGCAAGATTTTAATCCCCATAACTCCCTCAAGGTAGAGTTCCCACCTGTCAGCACAATTTTAGTAGCACTTCTTGGGAGAGAGACTGAAAAAAAGATTCAAGTGGAATTTAGGTACCAAAGCTGGCTGTGCTTGTTTGGGGACTTGGCCCTGTCAGTGAACCTGCAGAAATACTCTGGGAGAGGAAAGGGAAAAGGAGGTATCTGACAACTGCAACTTCTCTCAGGCAAACTTCAGTGATAAACTGATTTTTTTGTGCCTTGTGGGGTTATATAAACTACAGCAATGTCAGTGATCAAAGTGCCTCTAAAAAAACCAGCCCCTCCCTGGTTTTTATCTCCTGACTATCAGTCACTACTTGAGATGTCTCTCAGAATTTTGCCTTTCCACCTCCTGTTTCAGATGAGGGAATGGAATCATCACATATGCAGTCCACAAGGCCTTGCTGGTGACAAGACATTACTTGTGGCAATGAAGAATTCCTCCTCTAGAGGAAAAGAAATGACATTTTATCCTGTGTGTTCCATAAACCCAATGATCCTCTTACTGCTCACAGAGGCTCTGCCTTTTCCATCACACCATCAGTCTGCAACAAGATTAGAAAGATGAGATGTTCTGAGCCTAAGGACAGGCTCTCTTCAATTGTTCTGTTTTCTGTTACAGAGTCCATGAAGACAAATTTAAAATTACCAGCAAACAGCTGAGCATGGACATTAAATATTGTCAGACACATTTACTTTGATCCACGCTGCAAATGTTCAGCAGTTACTGGATTATCAACTCAGACACAAGCAAAAAACAAAATATTGAAAGCATTTTCCTCTGAGAGGCAAAATAATGCTCCTGATGCAGCCTGGTGGGTGGGCTTGCTGTCCTGATAAATACTGGGAAAACAAATAATTAAGCCAAACTAAAATAGCTTAAAATTACAGGGTTTAAGAAGGCAGGTACTGGCTAAAGTGACCAAGCTGGATTCAGGCATTTATTTGGGCAATTTTCCATGTTCTAGGAAGTACTTTGTGGATTCTTGTGCACATTTAAAATAAAAAAAGAAACAAACAAATAAAATCAGAGTTTTAGTTTGTATTCCTGTTTTTCCCTGAGCCATGTGAAATAGAAGTGCTGTAGTGCAGTCTTTACTAGGAATACTGTAAACTAAACCAGAAACAAATAAGAGTTTCCTCATTCAACCAAAAATAAATTACACAGCCCTCAACTGAACAGAAAACAAAGTAAAAGAAGGTAAATAAATATTTCTGTGTGAAGAGAGGTCTAGCTGAAATTTCACCTTTATTTTCTTTTACTTTTCAACTGTGCCTGAGTTAACCCAGCTAAATGGCTAAAGCCCAGGTCAGATCCCAGCAGAACAACTCAGTCCTGTGCCACAGCTTCCTTGGAGCAGGTTGGCCCAGCTCAGGTGGAATTTGCTTAAAAATTCACCTGCTGTGCTGTGCTGGATGGGACTGGGAAGTTCCAGTGGCACTTAATGTCACTGTCCAGCCAGTGTGTCACAATTCCCCCAGAGCACTGGAGTCATCCAACTCGTTATTCAGGGCTTCAGGAATATGAAGCTCTCAGAACTTTAAGAAAATATTAAAAAAAATAAACCTGTACATCTCTCTTGGAAAAGAAGCTGTGGAATTATTGGTGCTCTGGAAGTTTGGTCAAGCTGCTTTACAAAATTGTATCTTGATCTTGTAGTGCTGACGTTCTCCCACTCCAATTTCTGAAATTCAAGACTTCTCCTGATGGAAAGCAACTGAGAGTTCAGAAAGAAAAGGATTTGTGGGGAATAACCCCAGAGCTAAATGGACACTCACATAAAGATCTCATGGATCAATCTGTATGTGTAATGTATGGATTATTTTTCTAAATTGCTTTATCCTGCCTTCATGCCCTCAACAGAGGAAAGGAAAAATTGTCTTTCCCTTTTTAATATATTATCAGTAACACACCCCACTTACACAACCTGCTCTTGGAGCAAATTAAAATAAATCTCCATGAAGCAGAGACACAAATTTTCAAAAAACACAAAAAAATTCACAGTGAGAGCTGGGGGCTGCAATTTCTCATCTCAGGACCGTGCAGAACACCTCTGTCCTTTCCACCACACAATTTTCAGCAGCACCAGAGCATGAACTCTCAGGCAGCAGCACTGATGGCCTGAGTACAAAAAGCAGCTCTGAAATCCAAATTTTCCTCCCTCACTAATGAAAAGTATTCAACACAAGCATTTCAGTTGAGCAGTACCTGTTTTTCTGGGTCACTCCTGCTAACATATGCACAGCTCAGGAATCTTTAATTGGGAAGAACATGCAAATACATAAAATTAGAATGAAATCATCAAATTTCACACAACACTTGCAAAATCAGTTGCTGCTGCTGCTGCCTTTCACTTTCTGCCCTGCTGGTTCCAGCTGGCAGCTCGCAGGGAACAGGGGAAGTTGTGAATCTCCATCCTTGGGAGAAACTCAGAGCTGGGCTGGGCAAAGTCCTGAGCCCCAGATCCTGCATGTGGCTGGAGCAGAACAGACCCCCTGGTCCCTGCAGGTCCCTGGGCACAGAAGCAATTCCAAAAACAAACCTGGCTCAGGATTTGCAGAGATAAATGCAATTATTCCCACCTGTCGTTCCTCCTCCAGACGAATCCTCTCCTCTTCCTTCCTCCTCTCCTCCTCTCTTTTTGATTCGAGCTTTCTCCTTTCTTCTCTCTCTGCTTCTTCAGCCTAAAATAAACATGATGCAAGCCAAGCCTTACTATTTTTTAATTTACATTTTAAAATTTCATATTATGATACCATGCGGGAGGTTCTCACCACCTTTTAAATGCCTGCTCAGAAAGAAACATCAAAAAAGAATAATAATAAATAAAAAGCTATATAATTTCACTTCCCTTCAGCACACTCAACATTGTGGTAAATTTAGAAATTACCCTCCTCATTGTCTTACCTGTACCTCAGTAACAATTTTAAGTTTTGAATGTGCTTATGAGCTTATTGCAACAGTGATGTTAAAGCAATGTTGTGTCATGGAATTCCAGTTCTAATTACTTGGAGTTTAGTTAGAAAGGACCCTAAGGAAGGGATAAAAAAAAAGGATTTGGAACACAAACTGTAAAAAGTGCATTCAAATGTATCATTAACCTGGGCAGAATCTCTTACAGAAAAAGCTGCAATGGTCTCTTGAAGTAATTTTATTTTTGTTGTTAAGAGGCTGTTGCAAAATGAGGGAAAAGTAAAAAGGGTGCTGTCTTGGTGCTTTTAGCTGTTTTGAAGATTTTTTTTTTTCAGGCTCTTCAGGATACTTAGATTTGAAAATATATTTAAGAGGACAAGCAGAAAATATTCCAGTGGATGATTTGGCTTTGAGTGTTTCAGAGAAAAAGCCCCATCCAAGGAATTTAACTGTCTACATGGGAAAATAAAAAACAGCGTGTTTTAAAATGAAACAGAAGATTCCTTGCTCCACCATCTGATGCTCATCCAACTCCATTCAACTTTGCTCACATTTTCCACAAAAAAAAAAAAAAAAGCAAAAATAAAAAAAAAAAAAAAAAAAAAAAAAAAAAAAAAAGAAAAAAGGAAAATTAAATTCAATGAGTATGGAAAGTAACAAAATGATGAAAGCACTGAGTGAGAAAAGGTTCATAATGGAAGTATATATATAACCAGTAATTAAGTTTATTACCAACTGTTCCATCTACTACACTGGTTTTAAACCTCAGGTGACACTAAAATTCCCAACTTGGGATTTCACAAGCTTTAAAAACGTTCATACAGAACAATACAGAGTCTGAAAAAAAAAACAAACAAACAAACAAAAAAGAACAATTCCAAGAGAAATGCACAAACTGCTGCCTTCAGAAGGCTGAAAAGCCTCTTGCTTCCCTGGAATTAACACCAAAAAGCTTTTCATCTCCCCAAGTCTGTAAAAACAATAAATATGGCTAAACACAAATAAAACCAATGCATGTTTTTGCACTCTGAGAGCACCTGAAACACTCCTCACAACTGCCCAGGGTGTTACAACACCACCATGGGGACTGGAATGTATTTTTAAGGGGAGACAGTGCTGACATGAAGCTGGAAGGCAATGGAAACATCCAAGAAAGAGCATTCAAGAGCTTAACTCCTCTCCTCCCCAGGAGTGTGAATGGAAAGAAAATGAGACACAGTTTTCCATGGCCCTCTTGGGCCAGCAAAAGCTGAATTTACATTTTTAAGATGAAACAACCATTTAGGGCTGACACTGCCTTTGCCTTTCTGGGCTGTCATCCCCAGTTCTCTGCTGAGCTGCTCAGGCTCTGCTCAATACGTGGCAGGAAATCCTCACCTCTCTCTGTGCTTTCCTGGCTTGTTTCTCTTCTAATTTCCTCTGCTTCTTTGCTCCAATTTTCCCAGACACCTGAAATTCTGGCACCTCTTCAGCATCCTCTTCCTCTGCAACATTGCATAAATGACAAATTTTAAATCATCTGTCAAAAGTCCCCTTGGAGAAACTTCAGTGCTGCCTAGGAAAGCAGCAGCAGATGAAAAGGAGACACACACACAGAGTTCAGACAAGACCTTTTAGATGGAAAAAGGGAAAAAAAAAAAATCACACGGGACTGCCAAAGCCACAGAGCAGAAGTAACAAGGCAAACACACACTCAAGTGAAGGCAGAAATAAAAATTTCCTTGATCCTTTGAAGGAAGGCTTTTCATAAATATTTCTTGCTTTCCACAATTAAAAGAGAGACTTTCTCTGATACATAAATTGTGCTAATGGTTGTCATTATTTATCTGCTCAACACTGGCTGCAGAGACTTTCTTCCCAGTTACCCTCAGGCTTTGCACAACAGACATCCACTGAAAAGTGGGAATCAGAGGCACCCCACTCCTGCACTGGTTCTAGCCTGACAGAAATAACATTTCAGGGATTAAGGGAAAAATTCCTTGAAATGCAAATCTTGGGTATACCTGCAAGAAAATGACACGTAAATATTTGCCTGTTGTATGACTAATGGTTGTTTACAGAGGTGATTTCTGCAACGGTGAAATATGAAAGAGTTTTATGCTCAAAGGGTGTGCAAATGAGGATTTCTGCTCACTCAAGGGCTGAGGAAGAAGAGCTTTTAAATGCAGTCACTTCCTCCCTGCCCAAAGCTCAGGAACATGTGGCCACTTTATTTGCTGGTCTAAATCAGTCCTTGATCCCACCAAAGTGCTGGGGACTGACCTCAACACTCCCAGAGAAATCCTCAGTTCACTGCACAAAAACCACACAGCATATTTACAGTCATGGCAGGCTCAAAATGAAAACTCCGACACATGGCTCCCCTTTTTGGGTAAAATAATTGGGGCTTTGAGCATCCCCAGTGCTGCTCTGCTCGATGCTGACTTCAGATCCAAACTGGAAGAGATTTGTGCCAGGATGTTTTCTGGAGGGAGATCTCTCCAGAGCACCTGGTCCCTTTTTTTTGGGAGCCCAAAAAGCTGCTATGAAAAGAGCATAAGGATGAATGACACTCCCACTTCTTTTTTATGAAGAATTAGGTTGGAAACACTCTTGTTTTACTAATTCCAAGACACAGAATGGGACTATGGTTAAACTACCAAGCCATCATGAGAAATAAATGTAGCTGAGAGCTGTGTAGGTGGCTCTCAAGTAACAGCAGTTTTCAGGAGATGGAATTAATATGAGCCTGGTTGCTGAGCTGGGCTTCAGAGAATTACTGGAGTCTGATTACTGAGATGATCAAAAGGGTTCCCCCTTCCTGCACCACACAGAGCAAGGAGGGACACTCAAGAGCTGACACAGTTGCTTCTAGAATTTTAATTATGCTTAAAATAACCTTATTTATATTTTAAATACAGCATCGAGGGGAGTTCCAAACACACTAGGTGAGCACACCCAGCACTAGCAGTTATTACTCCAAAATTAACAGCTCAGTTCTGGTATTATTGTTTAGAAAATCATTTCTTGCAAACACCACAAGTATAAAATACCATCTATGACACTGTTCCACCTGAGGGCTTCTCAGATTTCATCTATATTAAGATTACCTGAGCCAGATGTGAGGCAGAAATCTAAGGAAGGCTTGTTTTAAAGCTTTTTTTTTTTCAGTCCTGGATCAAACACACCTTTGTTGTTCAAGAGCATTTCATTCCTGCTGTTTGAAGCATCTGATGTGACCCCTTAAGCACCATTTCCTCCAAGTTTCCTCCAGTGTTTGGAGCTCCATCCATCAAAAGCCAGAGACGGGGATGCAGACAGAGCTCATGATTCAGCAGAGCTGCAAAGGTCACCAGGGCACTAAACCTGGCTGCAATTAAAATTTCCTAAATAAACCTGAATGTGCTGACAGCAACATAAACACATGGTCCCAGCATTTGCTGAATCCATTTGTTGTTACAGCAGAACAGCTCCAGCAAAAGCAGGGAGGGTGCTGCACACAGCCAGCAATTCTTTATTTCACGTTAATAAAGCACTGATTGTTTCAGCAGCTTGTGACAATCACTTTTCACATGCTTGTGGCTGTGACAGCACTGGGAGACTCCATAGGGAGTGAATCCATAGGAACTTGGCCTTCACCTGTCCCTGAGCTTGGCTGGGATGCAGGAGGGTCAGGTAATGAAAGCAGTTTAGCATCCCCCAAGTGCTGTGCTTGGGCAGCCTGGGTTTGTGCTCAGCTGGGAAATTCCACACTCTGACAGCATTAAAACTGAAATAAAGCAGGTTTAGATGGGATACTGGGAATTAATTTTCCCTGTGAGGGTGGGGAGGCCCTAAAATGGATTTCCCAGAGAAGCTGTGGCTACCCCTGGATCCCTGGAAGTGCCCAAGGCCAGGCTGGATGGGGCTTGGAACAACCTGGGCTGGTGGAAGGTGTCCCTGCACATGGCAGGGGGTGGAACTGGATGAGCTTTAACATGAATTCCAACCCAAACCTTTCTGTGATTTCAAGAGCCCCAGGAGTTCCCATCTCAAGAGTCAGAAAGCACAACCAGTGTGACACACTCTGCTTTACACAAACGTGGGGCTCTCAGCTGACCAGCTGAGAGGTGGCTTCAGGGAAATTTTGCTTTTCATTGGTATTTTGAACATACTGAGAGGCAGCACAACAGGGAACTTATCAGTCACACAGGTGTCTGAATTGCTGCAAATTTACAGACTTCTTTTTAAAAATGCTTCCCAGTACCTTTAGAAAATGTGCTGGAGTGCTGATGTTCTCTATCAGGACAGAAATTTAGTAGAATTCTGTGCTGTACAGAATTCTGTCTGTACAGAACAGACAGAAACTTCCAAAATAAACAATCAGCATTGTGTATTTTAGTTATCCCAGAATCACAGAATGGTTTGGATTGGAAAGAACCTTAAAGATCATCCCATTCCAACCCCACTGCCACTCCCACGTTTATCCAAGCCACATCCAACCTGGTCTAGTTGTCCTTGTTTTGCTCTCTTTTAAATTTTGGGTGAAGCAAATGGATTCCCATCCATGAAAAAGACTGAGAGTTGCACAGGTGGCTACTCACAGAAAGTCCTCTGGGCACAGCCAGCAGCCTTATTTACTGTTTATGCTGCACCTAACAAAAGGAGTAAGAGAAAGGAGGGGGGAAAAAATGCCAGGCAAAAGCAGATGTTATTAACAGCATGTAATTAATACCCAACAGATGTGTGACACCAGCCACTGGAAAGGTGTGGCCATTCCCCAGAAACACAATCCTCTGGTGGGATTAATTATAGTCTAATAACTAGCCTTAATTTTTGTGGGTTTTTTTAATTTTTAATTTAGAAACCGAATAAGAAACCGGTTTATTAATCTGAAACCACAAAATCAGGCAACATTTAGGGCAGAAAAGAGCAGCAGACACCAAGCCCAGACCTTTAGAGCAGAATGTGGAGTTTATTCTCAGCTAAAACCATTTGGCAGAAGTGAGAAACCACAGACCCCTCCCTCCACAGCCTGTCTGAGCCTGAACGGGATCAGACACTCACTGGGGGCACTCTGACAACACCAAACTCACTGGATGAGTAGCAGCACCAAGGCAAAACTGACTTTTGATTCACTAGTTGGGATATTAGTCAAAGTTTAACTGTACTAGAAAGGTTTTCCTACTGATTAAGCATTAAAATAATTTCAACTACTACGCCAATGAACGCAGCTCCATTTCACAAGAACAGCGTGGGACCACATCACTGCTTCTAAATTGACACATTTTCCAGATCTTTCAGTGCTCAGAAAACGTGCTTATTTTAAGAGATTTCAGTACAAACACATTCTTCTTGAATTAATGCACAATATCCATCACTCAAGGTGGATGAAGCATTATTTTTATATTATTTTTTCCCCAAAAATTAGCAGAAACCACTCATACAAGATTTTTTTAATTGTGGGATTTTAATGCTCAGCTTAGATGCCACACAAAGCAATAAAAAACATTTTTAAATGCCAAATTATTATAATTTTTAAAACTTTTAAAAGCTTGCCTTTTGCTTTCTTTCCCAACAGTAATTAATACTTACAAAGAAAAATGTGAGATTCTGATCTCCAAACCTGGCCATGCAAAAGTAGAGAGGAACTTGTGATTTAATTTATGTTGCACTCACAAACTTTTCTTTATCATGTTTTATTTTACAAGCTCGACCACTCAGACTGTCAAAAGCTGTTGGATTTATCATTACTGATGCTGTGGAAGTAAAATAATTTAACCAAATATTCACTGTACTGGAGATTCCAACACTTGTGCTGAGCTGCACAATGCTAAAATCTCAGAGAAAAGTCACACAGGTGTTGGGATATTTAACCTTTGGGAATTTTATGCTGCTTCCAGAAGTGAAGAGCCCATAGATTGGGGTAAATAATAAAAGCAACCTGACAAAAGCAGATTATTTCTTTGAGGGAGTCTTTACTTTCTCTTTGTTAAAAAAACTAAACCAAAACGACGATCCACACAAAGCCCCATTTTTTGGCAACAAGTCAGAGAGGTCATTTTGCAGATGTGAAAATAAGTGTCTTTGCAATTCAAACCCTTGAAAAATACTCCCTGGAAATGGACTGGGCTGCTGAGGCTTTTCTGGCACATCCTTCCCTTTTCCTTTCTTTTTCAACCACACCCCCAGCAGACCCAGAGCATTGCCCAGCGGTCTCTGTTCTGTGGCACTTTGGAAAGTGCTGGCTCTTCTTACACAAGTCTGGTTTTCTTGCTCACCACACCATGATTTATGGTAGTTATAATCACCAGTTTCTCTCTCCCTCACATCAACAGCAGCGAAGTTTTGGCCTGAGACACCCCTCCAAGTGACAGAAAACCCTCACCCTCACTATTTTTAGCACAGCTGGATCAAGACAACCCAACTGTATCTGCCATCATTTCACCCTCATGAGTTTCTTGCCACTTGAGAAGAAATTACGTTTTTGATGTAAATATCAGATGGATGGGTCACTTTCTGCTCCAAAATGCAGTCTCAAGAGAAGAACCTTCTTCACCTCTGAGCTCTTTGCAGTGTTCAAGGACAAGGATCAGGTTTGGAGGGTCAAGCTCAACTTGAGAGCTGGGCAAGTGTTTTTTCTGCACATGATCAGCAACCAAGTCAAAGCTCACAGCAAAACACCCTTATGTCCACCCAGAGGTGAGCAGAATCCAAGTGGATGCACTTAGAGCATCAGACAGGCAAAAACAAGAGCCAAGCACACCCTCCTTGGATGGTAAAGAAAAGGAATTTGAAATTGGAAATGGGAAATGGTATTTATTTACACTACACATGACCGAAACAATCCTCGCTCCACCTCCAATTTATCCCCTTCTCCCACTGCTTAGCTTGGCCTCTCCTGCCCTAAATGATTAATGTCTGAAATCCTCACCCATTTATGCCTTGCAGCATTTTCATCTTGGCTGTAGCCAGTCCACAAAGCCACCTGTGTCTGGATTCAATTTAAATTAAGACACACAGGGTTCATTAAGTCTGCTAGCTGGGATCTCAACCTAACCACATGAATACACAACTCTCCTCCACGGGGAAAGGAGCAGGCACTCTGCTCCAATGTGCAGAGCACAGAGGCTTTTAGCAAGACTCCCAGATTGCAGAGGGCTGCAGAAAAGGCAGGAGTGCTGTGGCTGGAATTAAACTGGGCAATTTGAGGCAATCAAAATCATTTTTCTAAAGCCAGCCTGAAAGGCACAGCTCAGAGGTCCCAGTCATTTTGAAAATTACTTTGTCACCAAGGAGAACCATCTCCCAGCAATCTTTGGTCATCAGAGGGTATCTGCAGGTGCTGATGTTCTCCTGACAGGTGACCTCCTTGGAGCACTCACTGAGAAACACTGCTCAGTAAACTGAGGCAGGGTGGGCACCTGGCTGGGTCTGTCCCACAGCACAGCCCACATGAACCCTGGGCATCAGGAACCCAGCACCAGTTGGGTTTTTCCTCTTGGAGGAAAGTCAAGATATTTGCTGCTGCACTATTGTCTGCCTGTGGCAATCTTATGGCTTTGTTGGCCCCAAGTTGGGCAACTCCCTGGGGGCTCCCCTGAGTGGGGAAACCCTCCTGGAGCAGTTCTGTGTCAGCAAAAGCAGAAACTCAGGACTTTCTTGGTCTTCAGCTTCTGTTTATTGTTAGCTTATCAAAACTTCGGCACACTGTCTGCACTGTCTGCATGCTGGAAAACAGCACAAAAATGGCTAACAATAGTGTTACAAGGCCTTTTAATTGTAATCAAAAACTAAGCTGCCCAATTAAGAAGTAACACCTAGATTATTTTCCCTTCTAACTCAATAACTGATCCCTAAAGACCCACAATGTAGATTTTTCTACCCAATTACAAGATACCACTAAACCCATGAAGAAGAAGGAAGAAGAAGGAACACAAGACAACACCCTATACCCTCCATCCTGTTCCCATTAATATACTAAAAATCTTAAAACCTAAATTTGTCACCCAAGTGACATACTATACTACTCTCTACTTTTGTGGTCTCTAGTTTACCTTGAGGCTTTGGAAGCTTTCTCCATGAATGAGGGCTAAGTCAGTGCTCCCCTGGGAGTCAGAACTCCCCAGGGCAGACACAGAATTATTCCCCTTGCCTTGAGTTTCCACATCCTATAACTAATTTACTTAGCTACACCAGCAAGCTGAAGAATTACAACCTGGTTTTGGCCTGAGACACCCCTCCAAGTGACAGAAAACCCTCACCCTCACTATTTTTAGCACAGCTGGATCAAGACAAACCAACTGTACCTGTCATTATTTCATCCTCATTAGTTTCTTGTCACTTGAAAATAAATTACGTTTTTGATGTAAATATCAGATGGATGGGTCACTTTCTGCTCCAAAATGCAGTGGGTGTAGATTTGAATACTGAAAATAATAATTTACTATTTCTGTCTGTATTGCATTACTCCTTATCCAGACCTACAGGTAAAATTTAAGCTACAGAAGGGTCAATGAAGTTTTCAAGTGTTTGATTTTAGTGTCCAGGGTTTGGGGCTGCTTTTCCTCCCCCACTGCTCTGTGAGAGATTTGAGTCCTGGCACAAATGAAGCAGCTCAGCACAGGCAGCAGAAACTGTGGGCTACAACTTTACCCTCAAAGCTTCTTTCTCATTCTGGAATTGAAATCTGATTGTTAGATGGAAAACAGAAAACCCTCATGCTAACCACAACTCCAAAGTCCGCAAGTGCAGCTTTGGGGACATTTCCTAGAGTCAGCAGAACTGGCTCCCAACAGGCAGAACTCTTAGGTGGCAACAGCACTTCCCACCTGGCTGCACTGTGTGACTATCACGGGGACCCAGGGGTGGTCAGGGCATCCTCACACCCTCCCCGAGGTCACTGCTCAGCTTCTTGCAGCGATGGCTTGGTGAAGAAATCACTTCTTGGCAGAAGTCAGAGTGATGCACAGAAGGATGAGGAAGCTTTACCCAAAGTTCAGCACAGGCCCAGAGTGGAAATTCCACAAATGGAACAGAAATTTGGCAGTAAAAATTTGCAATGAATTCAAACAAAAAAACAAACAAAAAAATCCGCTTTGTTTACAGATGGTCAGAAGATTTCAAAGGCAAGAGTGGAGAAACCAGACTGGCTTGGGTTTGGTGTATCTGCCTAAATTGCCAAATAATTTTGCTCTTCAGCCCTAGTGCTGCACTGGGCTCTTTTTCCAAGGAGTCAACAAATTCTTTAGCACAAAACTCTGTTATGGAGAGAAATTGCCATTCCTGGTTCAAATGCAAGCAGCAATTAGGTAAAACTGCTCTATACTGCAGTGTGACACAGAGAAAATGCAAAAAAAAAGGGATAAATCCCAGAAAGATTCCAGGCTTGTGCCACATGGCCACAGAGAGGGCTTTAAAACATTCAACACATCCTTTTCTAAGGAGAAAACCAAACCTTACACTAAGACAGGTAGCTCAGGGCCGGGCTGAAGGATTTGCAGCACAGAGAGTGGCTAATCCCAATTAATAATGGCCACTGGTCACTGAGCAGTGCTGGGGAAGCAGGGACAGCTGCTTCTCTCCACAGCTCCTCTGCCCAAGTCTTTGCTCACTCCCCAAAGGCTTTGCTGTTCCTGCTGTGCATCTGTCCTCAGCCACTTGGAAAATCCATCCCAAAATATGAATAAAACCGCCCACAGAGGCAAAGAGCAAGAAGCTGCTTTAATTTGGGTAAGAAATTAGGGAAAACAAATAAAAGAAGGCATGTCATTTCAAAGGGAACTTCATGCAAAAGCAGCAGCACTTGCATCTGATGTACAGAAAGCTGCAATAGAATTATTTATAAAGCCCAATGACACAGATTCTTCTATTGCTACAGTGACAAAGTAAGATAAGATGAGATGAGCCATTTGCTTTGACAGCTTCACTGTCGGCCTTCAGCATTCAAACTTTTGATGTCTGGAGTTGAAAACTTGAGTATTTTTAGATTCCGTTTTCTTTCCAGGATGTTATCACATGAGAAGAAATAACCAAAGTTGAAAAGTTCACACCTGTCCAATCTCCATCTGTGAAACTGCTGAACATAATTAGCTGGAAAAGGAGATTCACCTGATAATGTGAGGCTTCTTACAAACTGCAGGGCAAGAAAAGCTGAACAAAGTGCAAACAGTCCCTAATGAAGGCATCACAGAGGTGTGTGCTCAGTGCTTTCACCTCCTGCACACCACAGAGACACCCTGATCTCCACTGCAAACTCCAGAACTTGAGCAGAAAGCCTGAACACTTCACCCACGATCTGAAAGCAGAAAGAATCCAGGGGGTGAATCATGGTGATCTCATCTCTCCAGCAATAAAGAGAATAATGTGTCAAGCTTCACCAGAAAAGGGAATTATACTTACAGGGTGTAAAAAGATGTTATTTATCACCATATTTTTGTCTATAACCCCACCACAGAAATGTAGCTGTGAACTGTAAATCCAGCACGGGATTTACACAACACATTGTCAACAACCTGCTGGCAAAATGCTGCAGTCTGTGGTGATCTCCAGGTACTCCACTTGATCCTGACCACCACCTGGATGGCTCCTTGGACAGAGAACTCTACATTTTGCAGAGATTACTTTGGGGAATTAATGCTTCCCACCAATTTAAAAGGAATCAGTTATGTACTACAGCTTGTTATTCAATGCAAGGTCTGGATTCTGTTTTCCCAAATTCAGAGAATGACCAGGTTGGAAGAGATCTTCAAGACCATGGAGTCCAACCCAGCCCCAACATCTTGACTAAACCGTGGCACTGAGTGCCACATCCAGGCTTTGTTTAAACATATCCAGAGATGGTGACTCCACCACCTCCCTGGGCAGAAAATTCTAGTATTTTGTCACTATTTCCATGAAAAACTTTTTCCTAATATCCAACCTATATTTCCCTTGGCACGGCTTGAGACTGTGTCCTCTTTTTCTGTCAGCTGCTGCTTGGAGAAAGAGACCAACCTCACCTGCCTGCAACCACCTTTCAGGGAGTTGTGGAGAGTGATAAGGTCACTTAAGGTAATTTAATTTAATTCCCTGCATGGCTAAGAAGGAAATACAAAAGTTTTTAGGAAGGATGTGAATAGTCTGGCACCACAAATAGCCAGGATTTACCTCAGGAAGAGGCAGAGGTTTAAAGTAAGGGGTATACAGAGAAAAGTGATGAAGTAGGGAGAGAAAACAGATTATGGTGAAACTGTAAATAATCCATCAGCAAAACTCAACAACTTCCTCCAGGAGGCAGCTGCACCCCTTCCCCAGCTTTAACACCTGCTGTGAAGGTTCGTTTCAGTGTCTGCAAGACGAGCTGAAGGCAGAGTTACCTTCCAGCCACTCCTCTGCCTGCTGGGCTCTCCTCTGGGCCATCAGCCTGGCGCCCATGTTCCTGCGGCGCCGGGGCATCCCCTCTGCTCGTTCCTCCCCGTGGGGCCGGGGCCTGGCCCCTGCTGCTGCTGCTGCCACATTCTGCTGGTGCTCCTCATCAGCTGCAAGAAAGAAAGAATATATTCCTATTAAAACTCTACCTTCTGCCTCTGTTTCCGAGTTACCAAACAGCACAGACCTAAAAGTGTGGTTTTCTTTCTAAAGCATTCTGATTTTTTTTTTAATTTTAACTTGTACTTGTGTAATATGGATTCATCTGATTGTAAGCTCAGAGGCTGAATATTTCAGAGAGGAAAATGTAAATTACTACACATGAAGCAAAACCTGAAGAGCAAACAAGGATCACAAATTACAGCTGAAATAAATACTTCATTCTACCCTGCTGATTTAAGCTCCCCAAATCACAGGTAGGTACAAACAGGACACTAAGGGCCACTGCAGCTCTCATTGCCATCTTCTCTGCATATGCTGCAGTTACTAATTAAGATCTGGCAAATGAATATACTAACATAAGCAGCTGGGAGATGGAACTGACTAGTGGGTTAATTTCAGAAGTTTTCCATAGAAAACTCTCAGATTTTTTTTTTTTTTGAGGCTTCCTGTTGCTTTTAACTATGGCAGTAATGCAAAAAAAAAAACCCAAAAAAACACCCAAAGCCACATAATGGTAAAATATCATCATCCTTAATATCTGCTTTGCATATTCTGTTGATAAGCCTAACTGATATTTGTTATGTGCTCAATCCTGCAAAGTAGTAACTTTTGACCTTTAATTCAAGCAAATTTTCAAATGGTCTTATGGAAAACTGCAGAACAACTCATTTACTCCAACTCAGGACACATTTATTTTGTGATCTGACAGATTATGTTGAGTCCCAGGAGCACAAAACGCTTTGCACACTATGCCAAGTCTCCAGCAACCCCTGATCCAAACAATGCCCTCCTAAAAAACCTCCTGTTAGCATATCTGCCATCAGAAAATGGGGTTTGTTATGAGTGGATCTGTGCAGCACCCAAGGCGTGCCTGCAGCTCACCTCAGTTATCTCAGCTTTCAAAGTGCTGTGAGGCTGATAAGGACAGGCTGCAGCCTCCAGCTCAGCAGGGCTGCACAGCAGAGCCACCCGGGGCAGGCTTTGGCCAGCAGAGATGTCACAGGGATGGCAGCAGGCCCCCCTGGAACTGAGCCACTGCCCTGTCACACTGCTGTCACCCTCCTGCTCACATCCACCTGTGCAGACAGAACGGGGCTGTGAGAAATTACTGAGTGCAGAGATGCCAAAATGCTGCTTGAAGGCTTGCCCAGTGCTATCCACAGCTTATTGCTACAGGAAACATTCTCCTGCAGAGGCAGAGCAGCAGAGCACTTGGACACTGATAAATGCCACAAACGCTCTGCAGAAAGCTTTTTATACAAATGCAGTATTCCACTTCCTATGCTCTTGAGATATGCTGCAATTCAAACCTCAGCATCCTTTCACCTGCAAGCTTCAGTAATTCCCAAAATGGTCGTGCCCAGCAGCTCAGCTGTGCAGTTCCAGCACTCATTCATTCTGGTTTTGGTTCCTGTTGTCCTGTGAAACAGAGACTGCTTTGCATTTTATGAAAGAGGAATCTATTTATAAGCCATGTATTTATTTCAAACCGAAGATCTCAACCCTCACAGAGAAAAACACGTGAACCAAGCTCTCTGCTTTTCTCCATTTAACTCTCTACAGGAGACTCAGTAATTTCTCAAAGTGACCAGAGTGGACTGGGCTCAGGATGTACTAAACACCACACCTGACCCACATCATAGTCAAACACACATATATGTGTGTTTGATACATATGTGACATATCTGTCACATCTCCAAAATGTGCACATTAACAGAAGACACCAAGCCACTATGGACTGTCATTTAGTAGGAAATGTTTTAATGAAGATTTTTTTTCTTCCTTCTATTTTCTAAAATATTTCTCCTGACTGCAGCTTCTTTTTCAGCAGCACACAGATGGCTGAACATGAGCCAGTGACACCTGTTTTGTGACAGCAGGGCCAGGGCAGTGCCTGTCCCCTGTGCTGGGGCACCTCCAGTCCTGGGGGCAGTTTTTAAGCCACTCCCTGTAAGAAAGACCTGGAGGGGCTGGAGAGAATCCAGGGAAGAGAATGGAGCTGGGGAAGGGGTTGGAGCAAAGGAGGCTCAGGGGGGACCTTGTGGCTCTGCACAGCTCCTGACAGGAGGGGACAGCCGGGGGGTCGGGCTCTGCTCCCAGGGAACAGGGACAGGAGGAGAGGGAACAGCCTCAGGCTGGGCCAGGGGAGGCTCAGGTTGGATATTTCTGAAAATTTCTTCATGGAAAGGGTTGCTCAGCCCAGGCACAGCTGCCCAGGGCAGTGGTGGAGTCCCCATCCCTGGAGGGATTTAAAAGCCATGTGGATGTGGCCCTTGGGGACATGGGTCAGTGGTGGCCTTGGCAGGGCTGGGGGAATGGTTGGACTGGATGATCCTTGAGGGCTTTTCCAACCTGTTTGTGTTGAGCATTCTAGAGCTTCTGTTTGCCAGGCACTCAGCTGGGCAGGGATTTGGAAAACATGAATGTTACTCACTGCATTTCTCCCTGTCCTTCACAGGAGTAGGAAGAAATCCTAATTTCCTTTGCTCTGCTGTAACACACCTGGACCTGCTCCCTCAGGGGTCAGGGCTTTGCCTACGTGACTCCAGCCACAGCATTTCTTGTAGAATGCTGAAAGCTCAGCTGTGCTCTCCCTCTCCCTGAGCTGTGCCACACACTGGTGGCACACAGAGAGGAGGCTTCACACAACAGAGCACACACTTAAAAATCACTTTTCCTTTTCCTTGGGACAGGACTCACCATCAGATCTGAGCTCTGGCTCTGAATTATTTGCTCTGAGGTCTGGCCCTGGTGGGTTTTTTTTCACCTCCTCCAGCACAGGGTGTGGTTTGGCTGCTGCACTTATCTGAGCACATCTCATTTTCCTGGAGCTGCAGAGGTCTCAGCAGTGGCACCCCAGGCTAGTCAGATCATGCAGAGATTAGTCACACAAGTACTAATTAGTCTTGATCCAGAGCAATCTGAGTGAAAATTAATGGCCAGCATTAAAGAGGTGAGACAAGCCATCCAGAAGCTTTGCAGAATGACAGGCCAGGCTGAATTAATGAGATAAACCCCTCAAATTAACAGGTAATACAAACAAAACACTCAACAGCTGTCTGGGAAAGGGACAGGGGCTCAATTTGTATTTGTGGTGTCCAGGGTCTGAAAACCCAAGGACCTTTTTGTGCTGAGCACAGCAGCTCTGCCTCAGTGTTCAGGAAGCAACAGTGCAGGCAAGAGATTTTTTCAGCTGACTTGTCAGCCAGGGCACAGCAGCAGCTCTGAGACTCTGGTTGTGTCTCCTTCCTGAAGGGAGAGAGAACAGAACTGTGCTCTGCAAGCAGAAATCTTTCCTGAGCTGGATGTGAAGCACCACTGCAAAAAACACAGATCAGCACCTCATTTTACACTCTGGAGGTAAAAATCTGTCCCTTCACGAAACTGTGCAAACTTTTGCTTACAGCAGAGATGCTTTTCTAGAGAACAACCCCTTGCCTATCACAGCACCTTCCTCTCAGCTCCACCAGGTGAGCACGGGACACCTGGGCTGGCAGGAATGGAGGCAGCTCAGGGCTGCAGGGACAGGGACACAGCTCCACCTGCTGCACCCTCACACGTGGTGGCACTTCCCACCACGCTGGTGGCACCATCCAGCACCTTCTGCCTCCGTGCAAAACCTCTGCAATTCAGAAAGGGATTCAAAATTCAAGAGGTGGAAGCTTCCTGAGGAGGTGCTTTGGCCCAGTGGAGCTTATCAGAAAGAGAAGTGGCAACCAGGTGTAAAATCAAGAAATGCCACTTTTTTTTTTATTTTCAGTAGAACAAGTCCAGGCATGACCCTGCTTGAAACAACGTGCTGTGCCAAGTGACCTTTCAAAGAAATGCAAAGGTACAGGGTTTACCTCTCCTGACCCTCAGCTCCCTAAAGCAGGCAAGTCTTGGACATTTTTTAAAGCAAATTTCCATGAGATAACACAAAAGGAAGCTGCTGCCCCAATCCCTGCACGTTAACAAGAAAAGGTGAGAGCTCCCACCACTTCTTTAGGTCCAATGTCCCTGGTTTCAAGTCCTTTCCAGGTGGCAACACGGATTTATTGGCATAATTGTGGCAGCTTCCATTGTCCACCTAAGAACATGGAATAGAAAAGGAAATTCCTGCTTTAAACTAAATTTTTGTGGGAATTAAATACACCACGGTCCCCATGGTTCTGAAAAAATAATTTCTGTTGTGTACAGAGAAAAAAAGTCATCCCCAGCAGCTGAGACTTTGTGAAGGGCTTTATGATGACAGAAAACAATATATTGAAGTAAAAAATATCTTAAAACCACAGAAAAAAAAAAAAAAAAAAGCATGACCAACTTGGAAGTGTCAAAAAATTACCACTAAAAAAGGCTTCAAGATAATGAAGTTGTATTGAATGTAAATTAACTTCAAGCAACTTGCTCAAAATCAGTATTAAAGTTTGGGTTCTTTTTTAATAATTCACACTATTTAAAACAAATGCTTGGGCTTGAATTTAGAGCTTTGAATGCTTAAAGAGAAAAGAAATCCTCTCAAACCCCACAGCCCCTGATTTACCCTGACAGGATTCAAGCTCAGGAAATGATGTATTTCTCCAGGACATGCATGCCTCACTTTTACCAAATGTTCATCTCTTCATTCATAGGAATGCAATGAAATTACATCAGTTTCAAAACCTTTCCAAGAGAAAGCTTTAGACCAGGTCTGTGGAAAAAGAGGTGTGTGAGAAATGTGTTGGGAAATTTAATTATTATAAGCAAAACCTGCTTTTAACACAGATCCCTTTCCAGCACAGTGTTGCACTGAGTGACTGTGTTTATATTAAATGTGTGCTGGTTTTACCTCTTAATTAGAAATTATCAAAGCAACTCCCCTAAAAGAAAAAGAATACAAATTCCAAAACTAAAACACCCCATATCCTTGACATCTGTGGAAGTTCAGAGTTTGTCCTGGCTAAACATCTTAATTTGACACTTGGCAGGTAAACAAGCTCACTCCTTCCACTGTGAGGACACAACAAGGTCAGTGAGTTCACACCACACCTGACTCCTTCCCACAACACCCAATTCCCACCCACACCATCCCCACAGTGGAAGTGGCAGTGTTGTTTATGGTTGGACTCAGTGATTTTAAAGGTTTTTTCCAGCCCAGGTGATTCTCTGATCACACACTGCCCAGCAGTGACACAGGGCTGGAAGTGCTGCATCATCCACCTGCTTCCCACAGCCCCAGGACTGCACTGGGTGAGGTGGGAAAGGAGCAGAAGTGGGACATGGCACAGGATTGCCTCCAGATGGCTCTGGAATATCTCCAGTGAGGGAAACTCTGCAGCCTCCTTCTCTGGGCAATCTTTTCCAGTGCTCCCAGTAAAGAAATTCTTCCTCGTGTTCAGGTGGAGCTTCAGTTCCTGTTGTGCCATTGCTGTGCCCTGCTCTGAGCCCTCCCTGCAGACACTGCTGGACATGGATGAAGTCTCCTCTCAGTTTTCTCCAGGCTGAACACTCCTAGCTTCCTCAGCCTTTCCTGATCAGGAACTGCTCCAGCAGCCCCTTCATCACCCTCACAGCCTCTGCTGGTCCATCCTTTCCTGAGGAGCCCAAAACTGGACCATCTCAGAGGGCTGAGCAGAGGGGCAGGATCACTCCCTGACCTGCTGGAAACGCTCGGGATTTCCCTTGGGAACACCGCTGGCTCAGGGACAGCTCGCTGTGCACCAGGACACCCAGGTCCTTCCCATGAAGGCACAGCCCAGCGTCTGTCGGTGCTCGGGGCTGTTCTCCCCACATGCAGGACCTGAACTGCACTGCGCTGAATTTCGGAAGGTTCTCCTCCGCCTGTCAAAGTCCCTCTGAAGGGCGGCACAACCCTCTGAGACATCGGCCACTCCTTGTTTTGTATCATCAGCCAACCCGCTGAGGGAGCATCGACCCCTTTGGCAAAGTCACTGCTAAACAAGCTACAAACACTCAGTACAGAACCCTGGGGGCACCACTCGTGGCAGGCCTCCACCGATATCCCGAACCTCCGGGATCTGTCCTCCATTCCCCCTCATCTGCAGGAACCTCAGGGACACCTACCCAGCCCCCAAGAACCCCTGACAGAGAACCCGGACCTCCAACGCGGCGTCCCTCACCCCGGGGCCGCCTCAGGCCGGGAACCGGCAACCCCCAGCAGCAGTGGGAGCCCACATCCCGCAGCCTGCGGGGCAGCCCGGGTGGAAAGCGGGGTTAAGACACCGGGACACCCCCCAAAACCCCTGGGGACCCCCAAAATCCCCAAGCCCCCAACATGGCGGGCGCCCCTCAGGGGCCGCCCGAGGCGTGGCGCCCCCTGGCGGCTCCGGCGGAACGCGCCCCCCGCGCACCCGGTTGAGAGCAGCGCCGCGCCCACCGGAACGGGGTGAGGGAAGCCCGGTCGCGACCCACCTGCCCTGGCTTGTCCGCGGAGGCGGGTGGCGAAGAAGAGAAGGACGGCGAGCAGCACGGCAGCGGCGGCGAGCAGAACCGCGTCCATCCCGCAGCGCCCGCCCCGCCCACAGCGCCCTTGCTACGCCCCGTCCCCTTGGCCTGCCGCAAGGCCCCCCGCGCGCGGGCTGCCCCGCGGGGTGCCTGTGGCGGCGCGGCGCGGAGGGCGCGTTTGCGATCGGGCAGGCGCGGCGCGGGCAGCCCGCGGGAGGGGTCCTGCCTCGTCGCTGAGGCGGGCGCTGAGGGAGGGCGCGGAAAAAGGAATTAAAGGCGGAATTAAAGGAGAAATTAAAAACTATGAGGCGAAACCGGCCGTGAGTGCGACGTCTGGGCCCGGGCTGGGGAGATCCTCAGCCGTGACCCCGCACTGGGTCCACCCAGGTAGGCCCTGACAGCTGTCGGGGTGACCTAGGCAATGGTGAAACTTAAATTACACCTCTGAGTAATTTCTGTCTTCTGCCTTCAGGTCTCTGAAGTTTGGGAATGGGATGAAGATGGAGCTGCCTGGCTCAGCAGCGTGATGTCCTGACCTGATCTGAGCCAAAAGTGCACAAAAAGATGCAGAAACTTGCACTGGAGATGGAGAAGACATTTCCCCCCTTTGCATGGTCACCTGCTGTTAGATCTGAAACTTTGCCAGGCTGCCCCAGTCCTATGAATGAGAAGTGTTTTTAGGCTTTACCCATTTTCATTTTGTGGTTGTGAAGTTCTGTCTGATCAAGCCCTTTCATGCTTCACAAATACTTTTCAGTGTGACAGTTTAAAGCACTCTTGGTGGGGGAAAGTGTTTTAATAAATTGAATATGCAAATTAGAGGCTATGGGACATCTAAAGGTGATCAAAAGCACTGTTTTAGCTAATTAGTCATTGCTGTGGGCTCCCACAGCTGCCCGTGTCCCTGTCACGAGCTGGAGATGAGTTCAGATCTGTCAGCAGATGGAAAGCAGCTTCTGCTGAGGGATTTGCTGAATTTTAACAATGTAGAACCAGCAACACAGTGGGAAGCTCTCAAAAAAAAAAACCAAAAAAAACAGCTGAACTGCAGGCTGAATGTTTTATGGCAAAGTTTTATTTTAGTGATAGCCTTTCAAAAATCTTATTTTGGGAATCATTCATAGAAGCGTGGAATGGCTTGGGTTAGAAGGACCTTAAAGCTCATTTTGTTCCACCCCCTGCCATGGGCAGGGAACAGCTTCCACTATCCCAGGTGGCCTTGGACTCTCCAGGGATCCAGAGGCAGCCACAGCTGCTCTGGGAAATCTATTCCAGGGCCTCCTCATCCTTTCAGGTAAGAATTCCTTCCCAATATCCCATCCATCGCTGTCCTCTGGCAGTGGGAGCCATTCCCTGTGTCCTGTCCCTCCATCCCTTGTCCCCAGTCCCTCTCCAGCTTTTCTGGAGCCCCTTTAGACCCTGGAAAAGGCTCTGAGCTCTCCCTGGAGCCTTCTCTTCTCCAGGTGAGCATTCCCAGCTCTCCCAGCCTGGCTCCAGCCCTTGGAGCAGCTCCATGGCCTCCTCTGGACTCTCTCCAGCAGCTCCAGGTCCTCCTGCTGTTGGCCCCAGGGCTGGAGCAGCTCTGCAGGTGGGGTCTCACCTGCACAATCCCCCTCCCCTGCTGCCCATGCTGGGGATGGGGACACAAACTGTGGGAACCCAGGGCAGGGGGAATATCCCCCTGTCTGCCCTGGGGTGCCCTGACTCCCAGAAAAACAGATTTTTACCCTCATTCATGGAGAAAACTTCCAAACCCTCAGGGTAAACCAGAAACCACAAAAGTGGGAAACAGATTGTAGAGATTGTAGAGAGTAATTTAGTATGTCACATGGGTGATACATTTAGGTGCTAGGATTTTTAGTATGTTATGGATGGGTTCAAGATGGAGGATATAGGGTGTTGTCTCAAATTTCTTCTCTCTTCTTCCTCTTTCTTCTTGGGTTTGGGTGGTATCTTGTAATCGGGTAGAAAAATCTGCATTGCAGGTCTTTAGGGGTCAGTTATTGGGTTAGAAAGGAAAATAATTTAGGTGTCACTTCTTAATTGGGCAGCTTAGTTTTCGATTAGACTTAAAAAGACCTCACAGCATGAGGTTGTTGGCCATTTTTGTGCTGTTTTTGTGAAAAACGGCAATCACTTGGTTTTTAAAATTTTTAAAAGTTTAATAATAATAAAATTATTATAAAAATAGTAATACAATTAGAGTAATAAAGCTTAGAGTTAGGACAATTACAAGACGATAAAAAGCAAAGAATGAAGGACGTCTGGATGCTCCTGGACACTAAGTCACAAAAAGCATGACTTGTGAACAAAGGAATAACCTTAAAAGCAATAGCCTGTTGCATATTCATATATTCTTCATGGTGATGCATACATTCTATTTAAAACAAGAACTCTGTTGTATGTCAACTGTTTCCTTTAATCCCCAAGGCGTCTTTGAGTCTGAGCAAGGCCTGAAGAAATTAGCTTCTTCTGATAAGAAAACAATAAATTCCTTTTCTTTGGAAGATTTAGGTGTTCCTCGAAGTGAGTATCTCATTCCTAAAAATGAAAACTCCCCCCACATACACTGTCTCTATTTTAACATTATGTTGGAACCTAAAACTATATTTAACACACTACTTAAGATAATTAATACAGCATAACTTTCTGACATTACACATATAATACTTGTCGCTGTCGAGGCAGGACAGGAATGAGAAGACTCATTCAGAAAGCTGCTGAGAGTAAAACTCCGATTTATTCAAAATACACTGCTCTTTTATACAGAGCTTCATAAGGACCTGTGGAGTTGCGTTATGTCGGGGCGGGAGTGCGGCAAGGACCAACTCCATTGGTCCTGAAGTGAAAACAACCCAAGCATTGGTGTACAGTGCTTGATGCACAGTGATAGAACTTAACTATAAACAATGTGAACAAGAGAGATAAAGAATTATTTACATTCTTCCCCAGCTCTTTCCCAGGCTTCTGCCTAGCTAGAAGCTCTCGTTTCTCCCTTTGACTGAATCTGAGTCCCACAAATACTCATTGTAACATTTGCAATAGCCAATCATAAAACATTCAAGGTCTGGGCACAGACAGCGTGCTGAAGTTTTGATAAGATAACAATAAGCAGAAGCTGAAGACTGAAAAAGTCCAACGTGTCTCTCGTTCCTGACGCAGAACTGCTCCAGGAGAGACTCCCCACTCAGGGGAGCCCCCAGGGAGTTTCCCAACTCCCCAAACTCACGACACAGGGCTGATGCTGGGCCACGTGGAGCTCCTCAGCCACCCCAACACCCCCTCAGGCTGAGCTTTGGCTAAATCAGGCCTGGGGGAGCTGGGGGTTCCCAGAGCCGCTCTGTCATCCAGCCCTGCACGCACTTGAGTCAGTGCTGAGTGTTTCATTTCCCTGCACGGCCCCTGCTGCCTTTATTAAGGAGATGGTGTTAATGATGGGATGTCACCTGCTCCTCCCTGGGCTGCAGAGGGAGCAGAGGAGTTTTTCCTGTAGGTGTCACCAATATCCCGTTTAGAAACTGAGTTTAAACGCCTGAGGAAGGACCGAGTGTGGGATGCTCAGGTCGGCTTGATGCAACGCCGGAGTCTTCTGAAATATTTGAGATCCCTGGGGTTGTGTTCCACAGAAACCTTTTTGTATTTTCCTAATTTAAGTCTGGAAAAATCCCTCTGGTTCCCTCAATAACCATGTAAATTCCAGAGGATTTTGAGGCTGGCTTTCTACCAGGACACTGGGAGAATGTGTGAAGGCTGTGATGAGCTGTGGGTGGTGATTGAATTTGGTGGCTGCTGCTGGAGCGTGACTTGTTCCACTCAGTCATGCAAATACTGCAAGAATATCACGGAATCATGGAATGATTTGGGTTGGGAGGGACTTTGGAGACCATCTTGTTCCACTCCCTGCCATGGGCAGGGACACCTTCACTAGCCCAGGTGGCTCCAAACCCTTCCCTGCCTGGCCTTGTGCACTTCCAGGGATCCAGGGGAAGCCACCGTTTCTCTGGGCTCAACACTCTCACAGGCAAGAATTATGTCCTTAATATTTATTCTAAATCTGCCCTCTTTTAGTTTAAAAATATTTCCCCTTGTCCCAGCAGTTGTAAATCCTTAATCACAATAATACAGTTTTTGCAAACCTATGGAATTTTCTCACTCAGTGTGGGAGCAGCACCTGATCCCAGTACAGGCTGTTTTAAGGGAAAATTGGTCTTTTTTTCAATTTATTGTGACAGAGGGTCAAACAGCACATTCCCCCTCAAACACCTCATTGTATAGAGGAATTACATAGAATCACAGAATCATTAAGGTTTAAAAACCCCCCTTGCATCATCAAGTCCAACTATTCCCCCACCGCCAAAGCCCCCACTAAACCACCCCGAAGTTCCACCTCTACACCTAAAATCTCTTTACATTGCAATGCTGGTGGGGCTGGAGGCACATCCACGTGTGTGAGTGAGTGCTCATCACTTTTTTGGAGCAGCCGGGAGAACTCGCCCAGCTGGCAGAGCAGCCCCGAGCCTTGGATCCGGTGACGCGCGGTGGCGTCAGGTACCGGAGTCCGGCAATGAGGCTCGGATTCCGTGCGAATATCCCAAAGTGCAGCCAGGAACTCGGTGTATCCCGGGCCCCGGGGCCAACTGGCACAAAACGCCCTCTTGCACACTTGTCAGCTTGCCTCGCCTTCCAGGAGAGGGTGGCTGGATGCAAACTGCCTGCTGGGAGCAGTTCCTGGAATGCTTTGAGCCGGGAATTGTCTAGGAAAGTGCAGCTTGGCACCCAAGTTTGTGCAGAGGGACTTTCTAACCATTTTCTCCCATGGATGTACCTCTCAGTGCCTGGGCACGCTTTACTTTCCAGCAGGGATGCGACTTCGGTGCAGCAGGATTTATTTACAAGTGCTGCCTTCCAGCTCCCACCCACTTGGATGTGCACCTCGGCTATTCTTCCAAATGCTCTCGGAATGTGCTGATGAAGGGGAGCGTTTCTGCATCGCTCCTTTGTGCCAGTGGGACACAGCAACTTCCAGGCAGCGCTCTGGATTGCAGGATCACACTCTGGGAAGGATCTGCATCCGAGTGCCAGAGAGCTGCAGAATTCTTTTATAATTGTAGGGCTGTGAGCTGGTGACCCTAAATGTGGGGTGAGCTCCACCCAGGACCCCTCTGCACCATCCTGGAGCTCAGCACCTCCCCAAAGCCTCTGAAAAAAAATCTGAGACCTGTCTTGCTCTTTTCTGGTTCTCCCTCTTCCTTCTCACTGCTCTACTTTTGTCACTTGTTTTAGGAGAAATAAAATGGTTTCTTGCTTGCTTGAGATAGCTTCCAAATCTACCTTAAACAGCAAAATTTAAATACAAGTAGTGGTCACAATCAAAATATAATCGTAGTTATTGGAAACAACATTACAAAATTAAGAAATGCATGGAAATTTGAAGGCTTGAAATCATTGTGAGGTGATTCCCTCCGTGTTGTGTTTTATAACAGCTCATTTCTGCTCTGGAGGTTTCACTGACTGGTCTAATTCAGCCACAGCTGCTTCTGGGCCAGGATGTCTGAGCGATGCAGGGAGTGGGACTTGATCAGATAAAGGCTTTTTTAGCCTTAAAAGCTGAGGGAAGATTTGAAGCAAATAATGCCAGTAAATATATGAATCTAAAAGAAATCCAGCCAGGCTAAGGATTTCTTTGAGCAGGTCTTCAAAAATATTTGGAGATCAAGACTGTTATGCTGGCAGGGGATTAAAGGAAAAAATAGTGGTGAAGTGAAATCTCTACAAGTGAAATTCAGATGTTTTCCCTCCTGTGGCCACAAACCCAAAAC